AAGAGAAATATCCCAAAAAAGATTTAAAATATATATTTGTGTACACAATATTCTCAAAAAATTTTTCTTTATAATTTTTCATATATTAAATAAAAGAGAAATATTGTTAAAAAAAAAAGGCAAATAGAGAGTATAACAAGAATTAGCATTATTCGAAAATTTCTGAGAAGTTGGCTGAATTTTCGAATACACTCACACATGTCCATTAGACTGAAGCACGTTTTATGCAAAGTTCCCGAATAAAACTCGAGGCCGATGATGGCGAATATCACGATGGCGAAGAGTACCAGCAAGCCGATCTGCAGTAGCGGCGCCATCGCCTTGATGATAGACTTGAGCACCACCTGAAGACCTGTGCGCAAAAAATTGCCGAGGAGTAATTAGGTCCAATCACCGTTCTCACAAGATAAATGCGGAAATCTAGGCTCGATATAACTTTAATTTCTCCCTGTTCGTGCATTGTTATCGCTTATTGCTTATTGCAAGATACTATACGGAAATTTTTACATAAATAATCTAACATTACTATAACATAACGTAATATGTAATACATAACATAATAATTTAATATTTTATATAAATCTGACTCAAAATTAATTAAAAATTAACTTGAAATAATATAAATATTTGATATTATTCAAAATTCTGCGTCTAAGGATTAGGACACCTCCGCCGCATCTAAATACAACATCGAACATTCAATATAATACCTATATGAGCAATACTACTAACATAAAACAAACGATCGATCTAATTCGATAAAAAGCATTCTACGGGTAATAAATAGATATATTTGCGATTAAATATGACTACATTCTCATCTACTCTGACTTGATTTCATATTCGTTAATTCGTTCCTCGTTAAATCTATATAGCTGCTATTTGAGAAATAAATATATTCTCGACGACGGATCATATTCGATCTTCGAGGTATCCAAATCTGAGACACAAAGAAGTTTCAAGCCGTAAGCACTAATCAGTCATTACTCATTCATATGTAAAAACTGCACGAGCAACGAGAATGCATTTTTGTCGCATGTTTTAGCGCTAAATGTGATCATCTGATTTTCTCATTCCATATCTTAAATATTTTTTATTATTTATTAATATTTTTATTCTCTAAAACGTGCACGCAGAATCATGCGTAATAATAGAATGCATGAATGAAACATTGAGCGCTAAGAGGTGAAACCACGCGTCTCTAGTCCATACTCACACCTCGATTTAAAATCATATTTATTCATAAAGATGACTGCACGATATTTTAATTATTTAATATAGATTATTACGTTTAGAAGAAAAATATAAAATTTAAAAATACAAAAATTTTTAACGCTGGAGATTTAATAAAGGTGTGAATACGAGTATTTATTTCGTGCGCTATTTTCGGAAATTTTGTGACAACGAAAGGGCTTTCCTGAAAATACGAGATCTCTTTGGAGTCTCTCGTTGCGCCGAGCAACCCCGAGTTTTAAACTCAACCGATGCTCGACGTTTTCTAATTTCTGTACTGATGCGCTACTCACTCGGTGTGCCGGAGACAAGTTTGAGCGGTCGCAACACGCGTATCGCACGCAACGTGCGCAGGTCCATATCCAGGCTTATGCCTTGCGAGAATGCCGTGACGATCCTGCCTCAAAAACACACACACCCGCCATACTTTACTACTTACTACTCTATTACACTAATACTCACGCTACTCTTAAATACTTAGACTACGGCCACTAGATGGTTAACTAGCGTTCTCTAAACCTAGCCCGGGAAAAAGGAGAAGAGATAGTGTTATCAGGACGATCGGTTGGAGTTTTCGAATGCGATCGATAACGTGGGAGATTAAAGATGAAAGATTAAAGTGAATTAGATTTGTTGAAAGTGCAAATAGATAAACAGTCGGGATCTTAGTCTGCAACAAATCCCGAAAAGTTAGATTTCAATCTGATAAAACTTGACTCAATTTAAAAAATAAATTTCGCAAAAACTTGAAAGAAAAGGATTTACTTATGATTTTTAGTTAAATAAATAATTTAATATTTTTTACGTTTCTCGACCATCCTATGCAGCATCGTTCAATGTATAAACTTCAATTTGAAAGAATCATAAATTATTTATTATCTATTTTACATAATGATATGTTTTAGATAACATATTATCAAAGTTTCTCTCGGTACTTATATCTCTCTCTCTCACACATTAATATTAAAATCAATAATAAAAAAACAAAGATAAAAATATTTTAATAATAACATCACATTTTTGCGTTGTTTAGACGCAATTATAAAAATATGTATCTTTCAAATATACTCGAAGAGATACATTTCTTCTCAATGTTATTAGTTTCAGTATTAGTTTATTATGCACGAAAATAAACGGTCTGACAGGATAGGACAATGATCTATTGAAAAGGGTGTCACGAGAGGAATAGGATCGATGTATAGGCATGTAAATGTATCTATATATACGTATTCTCTCTCTCTCTCTCTCTCTCTAGACTATAATGAAATACTGTATATCTAGGTCTAGGAGAACATGTGAAACGCTGGGGCGAGCTAGCGATAAGTATAATCGCATGTAACTCGTGATTCTAATTTCTCGAAGATATCAGTTCGCTGAGCGGTCATCGCGCGCGCGAGCGCGCGACCGCCTCTCATCTATTTCTGACTCTTGCCAATAACAGCAGCTTTCCGGAAAGGTTCTTTTCAATCCAGAACAGATATTATAGAGAGGTGCTAGATCTTTTCCATCCTGCTGGAGAATGAATTAAAAACTTTTATATACCATATTTTCTGAATTTTTTTTCTTTTCTGTGAAACTTGAGAAAACAATGAATTACTTAGCATTACAAAAAAAAAACATTCAATATTAAAAATCATTTTAAATATCTTCATTACGAAATAATAATTAAACTAAAAATGATTCAACAATTTTCAATGCCAGTTTTCTTTACAGATTAATTCTGAAAATAAAATCAAAGAAAAAGATCTATTAAAATTTAAAAATGAGTTGCATACATGATAAAGATTTTGAAACGAGAAGAGAAAATATATTTTTATAACAATCAAAAATATCTAAATTTTAGCAAGAACATCAAGAGAGTGAATCCTTCTCTATTAAAATAATAACTGTGTCCTTCGCTATTAATAATAATGAGAAATATTACTTATCAGTAACGTGAATGACGAAACCGTCGATGACTGACTAGCTGATGAAAAAAGAATATCCGATAAAAGCAGAAAGCAAATCCTAACAATGAGAATCGAAAGAGTAACCATCTTCGAGAATTATGGATGCTATTAAATGATTAAATAAAACAACGATTTGGTCTGTCGTATAAACGTCTAAAAGTACAACTATCTAATAAATAACCGCGCTGTTAAACACATTATGTGCTCTAGGAGGACACGTATCCATTTAACAATGTATAGTCGACTCTATTATTTAACGTGACTGCAGCTAAAGATAGCTAACCACTAAATATAGGCATCGTTTCGCGCGGGTCATCACATTTGTGTGCGTGTGTGTGTTTTTTTCCTTCTGTCTACCTGTTCATGAGAGCGCATCTTCAGCATAATCAGAGACAAATGGTCCAAATTGCTATTTCGAAGAAAACACTTTCGGGGAATATTAACTACTCATTAATAAATAACTCTTTTTTTTTCTTGCAGACACACACACGATCTAATAAATTATATCCTAACAATCACAGAAGAGAATAATAATTAATTCCAATCTTAAATACGGCGACTAAATTGCTTACTACGTGTTTATTTTTCTACGTACGACTACAGAACTATTAGAATTCAGATCATAATTATTAAAAAGTAACATTAGAGATCAGAATTATTAAGAAATATTTCGATTAAAAATGTAAAATATTACTAACGCGTATGTTGTATTGTTATAAGAAAAGACAAATACGTATGGCAACTGTTTTTTATCATAATTATCTTTAATTAGCAGAATCTCTTTCCTTTGTCAGTATTAACAAAAGAATAGCTGCGGAAACTTTATATAGTAAAAAAGATTTTTTTATTTTTTAAATATATGTTTTGTATTTTTGTATGACTAAGAATAAGCGTATAACTACGCTTTCTTCAAACTTCAAGAATGTGTGTATTAAATAGCGATATTCATAAATCTAAACTGTTCATAAATCTAATCGCTAATTGACGCAAGTTCCTCTAGAAAAAATACAATATTAATATCTAGATGAGATTATTCAGAAGCAACGTATATAGACACAGAGATATTATATATAAATATATATATAAATTATTGTTTATATTCAACAAATATATCGATCATCAACTGAGCTAGCTTTTATTATCAATTCTAACTTTATCAATTGATCTAAGACACCCATAGCCTCTAAGAGCAAAGGGGCTAGTGAAAAACGTACGACGTAATTAGAAAATTAACGTAAAAGATGCTAGAAGGACGGGAACTAATAATATATAAATATATATATATAGACAAGTTCAAGTCGATGCTTCTCTCGCTTGCCAGAACTAGACGTCGCACCAACTAAAGCAGCGGAACTGGCCGAAATTGAAAGATCGAGCTAAGAGTTTCGGCGCCGAAGACATTAAAACTATGTTCGTAACTATGAGAATGCATACAAATTGCCAGGAAACACAACGTGGTACGGTAGGACACGGGACTCGAAAGAGGATTGGGGGGTAAGTCATCTGCTGCTCGACTATTAGCTCGACTTGTTATTGGCAGGGCTCTCTCTTGGAGTGGTTTGTTAATCGCTGCTGTTCTTTCGCAGAACTCTGACTGACTCACTTGGAATTTTCGAAACCAGCTTTAGCGGTCTGAGGACCCTGAAGGAACGTAGCATACGGAGGTCGACGTCCACATTTGTTTCGGCGAACACGGTCATCGACCTAATTCAAGGATCACTCTAAAATCTATCTGACCAATCGGCACAGCGATCGACGTATTTCCTTAAGTCCTATGGCTGGAGAAACCAGTTCGTGAACTACGTTGCCAGAATGCCAACATTTTTTAACAATTTACTCGATAATGGCATTTTCGCTATCAGAAAATTACGTTATTATCTATAGTTTTATCAATAAAGTAAAAAAAAAATAAATGTATATATATATACAATATATGTATATTAAATCAGCTTTTAATTTCTCGATACAATAAATTATGAATTTTTAAAGTAAGTAAAATATTTTTTGTTGCCATCTCTTTCTTCACAAACACGCTTCTCTTTATTTACTTAGATTTTAAAGAATATTAAAAAGTTTGCCTTATCTGTTGAACATTACAGATTTCTAATCACGTCCGCAAATACTGAAACATCTTGCCTGGCAATGTTGGTGAAATTGATTCCTCCAATATCTTGTTTCCTTACAGGGGTGTAATTAGGGAAAG